CCCCTCCCCCCCAAAGTAACAATACACTCTCTGGTTGCCACACAGCACCAAAAAACTCTTTGTCCAGGAGAACACAGCCAACCAGCGCCAGAGTGTTGTCTTAAGCAACTCCAGAGGGGCTGAGCCACCCCAGAGCCATCAACCTGGGCTCCCCTTAAGCCAGCAGGAGGAATTTTAAGCCTCAGGCTGCCTTTCCATGCCACAGGGTAGCACTGGGAACATCAACACTCTTCCAAACACTCCCAGAAGCCTTCCTCCATCCCCAGTGCCTGGGTTTCTCTAGGGACTGGAGCTGTGCAGCAGGGTGGACTCTCCACATATCCCTCTGGGATGTCCCTGCCCACGCTGAATGGTGGATGGCAGGAGTCCTGAGGAAAGGGTCTCCACATGTCCCCTCCCTGGGGCAGTGCAGGCAGGGGGCTGCCAGACCCCCAAGGAAGGGGGAATCCATCCACACAGAAGCTTTCTTCAATGCAAAACTGGGGCGGGTGGGTTGGCTTTCCACATCAGTATTTCCAAGGCTCTCACCTTTCTTCCCCAAGAGCTGTCAAACCACATCTCTGCCACGTTTTGGGAGGCTGGAGGGGTCATTCCCACTGTAGAGGGGGACAGCCCTGGCTTTCCCTAGGCCAGGCTGTGCCACAGCATTTGCCAGATCAGGCACTGTGACTCTAAATAAAAAGCACAAATCCCACAGCTTAAGGGGCTTGACCCACCCAAAATCCCCAGCAAAACCCACCCAGGAAGGGAATGGTGTCGGGCATTAGGGTGGCAGGGAGGAGACACTCACAAGTGACCACCACCGGAGAGAACCCAGCACCGTGAGGGCAGCGCCGGGTCTGCCATCGCTCCTGAACTGCCTCCAAACCAAGTCAGCAATTGTGGGATCATCAGCTGATGAATTGTAGGAAAAGATGTGTTTGTGAATCACTGCACCCTGGCTGGGTAAGAACACTGCCAGCGCTGTATTTGGGAGCAATTACTCTCCCCGAGAATGTGAATCATTAGGTATAATTACCCTAATAAATAAAAGGAAGATAGCTCCAGTCTCTAACCTAATCTAGAACAAGCGATTTTCAAGGAGAGATGTATGAAATAAAACCAGGAGTACAAGACAGAGGGAAAGAAGGAAGTGAGCTTCAAAACCTGGATGTGCCATTAATCCTTCCCACAGCAACCAAGGCCAGCTGGCAGCAGTGGAGTGTCTCCCACAGGTCCTCACTGGAGTTTGGTGGCAGAGAATTTGCCATAGAGGGCTCAGGTTTGGATGCAGCAGGGTTGTCCCTTCCCAAGGCAGCATCCCACCGGAGTACAACTTCTCTTGGCAAAAGTTTCCCTGCTACAAAAATGCAAACAGGTTAAAATAAAAACAAAAAAAAACCCCTAAACATTTATTTTGGAGATGATGGGGTGGGAGGGCAACAGTTACTTGAGTCTAATGAAACCATTTTGCTTTTCCCCTGGGAAACACTGGAATTAAAAAAAAAAAAAAAGCACAACAAAAAACTAAGCCCACCCCACTCAAAGTTGACATTTTGAAACGAAGCAGCAATTTTCTTCTCCACTTAAAATGTCATCACAGACTTTCGCTGTAAAAAAAAGCAGCTTTCCCTGAGTGACATTTTGAGGGGAAATGTTGATTTAAAACCAGAAGGAAACCCCCAGTCCATGCAATGAGATGTTTCGAGCTGCAGTGATACTTCTTACAGGGAAATTGATATTTTTTGCAGGAAAAAAAACAAAAAAACACACCCTCAACCACACATATTTAGTGGTTTGAAGTTCCCACGGGACAAACCCTTTCTCAAGGAGGCAAGACTTTGGAAAAGGATGAAGCAACAGCACTACCCTGTCCTGGAAGAAACAGCAAACAGCATCCCTAATTCTGGGCAAGTTTCCTCAAAAGCTTTGCAAAGCAAAGCAACAAATCAGCAACAGAGTCTGTGTTTGTCCTAGCAGGTGCCAGGCAGGTGGTGCTGGCTCTGTCCTGTCCCTGCAAGATGCCAGTGCAGGAGCTGCTCCTGCCCAGCCCAGCAGTGGGGACGATGCCAAGGCCAGGGGGTGCTGGCACCGGAATGGGGAGCCCTGGTGAGCAGTGACAGGGTTTATCCCACAGCTTTAGAGGGGAGAAATTGGATTTAGTCTGTGACTCATGGGAATCCTGCTTGTTCCCTAGGGAGAAAGAGGATTGTGGCTCACTCCTCTGCTTGCAAGAGGGGCTGGGCTCTGTCTGGAGATGCTCCATGAGATGGGGCTGGGCCTGCACTGCCTCTGCCTGGGCTCTCCTGTTAGGTGGGGTTCGACCAGGAACAATCTGTGCTTGGGCTCTCCCTGGGGCCACCGTTATTGCTGCCTGGGTTTTGTTTTTTTTAATAAACCTGTAATATGAGAAGCCTGCCCAGGAGAGCAGGGGGATTATTGGCAAATATCACTTCCCATTTGCCAGGCTTCGAGGGGCTTTAGCCACATGGATTAGCCAGGAACAGAGAGAGGGACACAAACCACTGGGATGGGACACACCAGAACTGGGTCCTTTGAACACAGGGCTGCAGCAAAATCCTGCAGACAAGTATCCTCCAGCCTCCAAAGGAGAGGGCTGGGTGGGAAGGGCTGTGGAATCCTAATTAGCTTTTTGATATTAATGAATTGGCACTGAAGCAAACAAGGCAGCAACAGTGCCTGGCACAGCTCCTGCTGCCACATCCCAGTCCCAGCACTGGGCAGCCTGCACAAGGGGGCTTGGTGGCACAGTCAGGGACATGGGGACCCAAGGAAACAGCAGCAGGGAGGGGGACATGCCACTGTGTGACAGGAACTGCTATGGGATGGTGGCACAGAGAAGATGCAAAGCATGCACGATGTGAGGGTAGGCTGCAGGACATGCCACAGCTGACACCAGGCCACCTCTTGCACAGGGCCCCCTTCCCTGTCAGGGGCTTTCTGCAAGGCCAAGGCTGTCACTTCATCCCCAGGTGAAGCCAAGAGCCCAAGGACAAGGCATCCCATCACCAGAAATGCCAGCAGGTGCCTGCTGGTTTGGAGACACAAGGTTTGCAAATAAATCTTTATACTGGACATCTGTGTCTAAGCCCCGTTTTAGAGGCTCCAAAAGTTTTTGGGGCATGCAGCAGGCAAGCCAAGAGGAGCCATGGGGTGCAGAGCCCAGGGCCCTTGCCAGGGGTGCTGGAGGCATTCTGTAATATTAATGAGAACTATTAATTATTAAATGCTGCTGGGCAGGGAGGGGAAGGAGCCTCACTCTTGCTCAGGAACAGCCAGTGACCAACAACTTCTTGTCTCCAAGGCTGGCAGCTGCTCAGGGAGGCAAAAGGGCTCCCCACACATCACCTCCAGCCCTCTGGGTGCAAACCTAAGTGCCACCCACCACCAGCAGCTGAATGCACAACCCGGCCACATCCCCACCACAAGCCAGCCCTGAGCTCAGTGTGATGCCAAAAACAAGCAGCACAAGCGCTTCTGGGCAGAAGCATCACTTCAGGCACAGCTTTTGAGTCCAGCTCACCTCTCCCCTGCCTTTACTAGCATGTCAAACAACAAGCCCAGCCCGGGAAGACACAAATTCAACCCAAATTCCTGACTAACTTTACTTATCAGCACAGCCCCACAAAACCCACAAACAACACCACACCCTCCCCTCTACCGCTTTAACTTCTTATAAACCCTCCTGGAAAGGCAGGAATCACTGTGTGCCGTGCAGAGCCACCAGAAGTTGATTAAGCCCTAATTAATTGCATTAAGGTCAGCCAATGTACTCTGTTAAGGAAGAAAGCCAATAATTAAACTCCACGTGTGGTGTGCTTCTGCCATCAGCTCCCCGGGCTGCAGCGGCGGCCTCAGGCTCGCCGGGTTACAGCCAGCACCGCTCCCAGCACATGGCGCTGGCAATCGGGGAAATGATTAAGTGCTGGGCATAAAACCATCAGCACTTCAGCGGCCGGGTGACAAAAGCCACCCAGCAGGGCTGTCGGCAGCCGGGCCGCTCGGGAGGGGACAGCGGGGGGACAGTGGCTGTATGGGGAGCATCCTCTGCAGGGCACCCAGAGGAGGATGCGGCCGTGTCCGGCCAGGCTGGGCTATCAGCCCGGGGCTGGCACGGGCCCCTGCCCGGGGAGGGGAGCTCTCCGGGCCCCGACAATGGGGTTTGTCTAGTGCCGACAAGAGCACCTGCCCCGGCGCTGGGAGCCGGCCAGGGGCACCATATGGAGGGGACCTGCCCCTCGCTGTGGTCTCGGCACGGGGCCAGTCTGGATGGGATGCAGCCCCTGGCATGGAGAGGAGCCCCTGAGCCGGGCGGGACGAGACCACGGGAGCCCAGCAGCGCTCCAGCCTGGAAATGTGACCACCAGGTGCAGGGATGGTGGATACAAGGTGGGTGTGAGCGTCACTTTGTTCCTGGCCAGGCCCAGGTGCTCCAGGGCCTGAGACACTGAGGGTGCAGCAGAGGAGCCCCAGAGGAGCCCAGCCCTGCAAGACAAAACCTTGCCTCGCCCTGGGGCTTTGCAGCAGAGCAGGGAGTGACAGGACAGCCCGAGGGATGAGAAACGGGGTCCCGCAGCATCTGAGGAGAGGAAGGAGTGTGGGGCATTTGGGGCTCTGCCTCGTCAATCCCTCTCTGGCAGCAAGCTCATTTAAAGCTTTTCTTTGCTCCCAGCTGAAAAACTAAAGGCCAAGGTAATCTGCCTGCCTGTCCCTCTTTGTCTCGGGGATAATAGCAGCCAGTGCAGTGTGGAGCCCCCCAGGGCTTTGCAGATTAGAGCTTTCAGCGATGTCTACGGTGAGTGCCTGGACAAAAACGAGAGGTGGTGGAGCGGAGCAGGACGAAGGGGACCCCACAAGGTCACCCACTCCCTCCCTGCCTAGCTGCATCTCCCCTCCTTGCCCTGGCACTGGCCAGGTGGGGGACGGGATGGTGGCCAGGAGATGGGGTCAGGGCAGAGTGCTCCTCTGGGTGTCCCAGCTCCAAAGGCTGACTTCACTGAGGGCAGTTATGATTATGTCACAGCAGCTTTTTGTTTTATAACTTACACTTTGACGATTCTGATAATTGCACATCTGAACTGGGGAGGGGAGGAAATAGAGACAAAACCATGTAACCTGCCACAAAAACCACAACAGTGTGAGCTGCTGCTCCCGTAGTCACAATGACTTCTCTACAAGCCACCTATAGACCAAAATGACTGGCTGGAGACATGGGAATCGCTGTACAGGGCTGAGCTACAGCTGGCTTTTCAATAACTCAAAGGGTCAAGACACTGGAGAAAAAAAATCCCAAACTAGTTCCCCTATTTCTCATGAGTTTTGTCTGGCAGGAGGCGTCCCAGCCCCGGCAACGAATATCCGCTCAGGAATGTCTCATGTCTAAAAGGCACACAAAAAAAGGGGGGAGGTGGGAGGAAACCCTAGGCCCGGCCTTCTTTCCCCGTGGCCGAGTTCAAGCGGCTTCGAGGGGGCAGGCAGGGGCAGGCAGGGGCTCGCAGCAGTTGTGCTGGGGCTCAGCAGCGCAGGGGCAGGCGGAGGGCAGAGCAGAGGAAGACAACATCCCTCGTTCATCGCCCTCCCCGGCTCTGTTCCCGCTGTGGATGTGCACGGCAGCCCCAGGATGCGGCCGGGCCCCGGCTCCTGATGGTGCCCTGCTCACCCTCGGTCCTCCCCGTCACCGCACACGCCATTGCTCCAAACGCAGCCCTCGGGGCCGCCGCGGCCGTGCCGAGCCCGCTGAGCCCGAGGC